TAATTTTTTTCTGCGACGTCGATTTTTTTCCAGCGAGGCTTTGGGTCTGGGATTAATCTCGTCTGGCGTGTGGGCGAGGGCTTAAAGTTCTGTAGGAACTCCTGTAAAAATTAAATTTTTAAGGCATAGGAACTCCTGGCAAAATTAAATTTTATCTGCTGCAACCGTTGGCGTCTCGTGGCGCCGTGCAGATACCTGTCGTCCATAACAAATGGCCGCTAGGGCTCTCGGTCCTCTCTGTGTTAAAGAAAAGCTTTCAATCAGGTTATCCTGGTAAGGGCTTGCGGACGAGTGTCAATTTCTCTGTCCTCATGCCATCCATTAGGCGACTTTATAGAGGACTGGAGTGAGGAATACGGTAATACTTTCATGACGAAGGTATTGTTGCACAAAGAGGTAAGTAATGCGTGTTGCAGGCAATTATAATAACACTTACATAACACTCCCAGATAATCACCGTTGAGCCGGAGTATGTAAAGGTAATTGCTCAGCTCATTGTTTTAATTGCAAACACGAACTTCTAATATTGTTCTCTTTAGGCGATCCTTGCAACGGAATTCGACAATTATTGGAAAAGTAAATCTCAATTACTGCACGAGAAGAAAATATTCAAGGCTCGGTAAAGATGCAGCTGAATCTGATATAGCTCAATCTTTGCTTGGATTTGGTATGCATTTCGCAATGATCTATCCGAGGCAATGAACTCAATACTATGATCAGGTGTTTTCAACACCGACGGTGAGAAACCTTTACGCATCAAATAGAAAAGGTAATACTGAACATCTTGCAATTGCCCTCAGATGACTTGTGGAGGTATTCGCGGGCCCAGTTTCTCATTATACGGTCTAACTGTCGATTGGGACAGATTCCATCGAAACTTGGCCCGACCTTTCTTTAGTCGAGGTCAGGAACTTACTGTAATCTAGTGCCCAAGATTCTCAATGCACGACAGAGCGCATCAGCGATTTCCATATCTTCGACCGGCATGCACAAGAGGTCCTTTCCCTCCTGAAGAAACGGCTCGCTGACGGGCACCCCGTGGATTTTCAGGTAAGTTCGAGACACCAATTCCCGTTTCCACCGCTGATCATGTCCCCAGGATCTGTCCGCTCGTTTCACGTTGGATTCTGCGACGGAGTATCTTTTCGGAAGATCCATCGACTCGATTTCGGCCGGTTTACCGTATCCTGACTCGTCCCCTCTCGCCAACGCGCCCTCATTTTTGAACCATCCATCCAACACCTACGTCAGGTCCTTCGTTCAGAGCCAGGTATTCACAATCCAGCGCTTGGCGTTTGGCAACAATTGGGCATTAGCGGAATTTTGGAAAGATAGAGTGAAGCCGCACAGGAGGATCATCGATGCGCTCATTGAGCCCATACTTAACGAGGAGTTGAAGAAGAAGCATGCTCAAGGCGGGGTTGATAGCAAAGGAAACAACGACAAGGGGACGTTTTTAACTCATCTTGTACAGGCAACAGACGGTAGGTCTACCTTTTTTGTCCCTGTAAATTTACTTACTCTGTAACTAGATAAGGGCATCATTCGAGACTCGATATTCAACATCTTGATTGCCGGGCGAGACACGGTGCGCGTTTATTGACGCTTACTCTGGCTTGCTCTCAACATGAATAGACCGCAGCGACCTTGACATTCGGGGTGTATATGCTTGCGGAACATCCGGATATTGTCGAACGCCTCCGGCATGAGATTCTTAGCATAGTTGGAAGTTCAAAAATGCCTACGTATGACGATTTGCGCAGCATGAAATATCTACGAGCCTTTATCAACGGTGCGTTGATCGATATATTGAACATTGTCCCAAGTTGAAGTGATTCAATTAGAAACATTGAGACTCTATCCCCCCGTGTAGGCCTCTCCTTCGTGTGCGCCAGTCTGACTTTAAAATGTACACCGTCTAGGCCGTTCGACGACAGGTTTGTAAGGCCCGTATACATACTTAGCGGATGATTGACATGGATTCCAGGGCCGCCAAGAATGCAACAACCTGGCCGCCGACCAGGCCTGGTGGTAAACCGCTCTATGTTCCAGCCAAGACGCGGTGAGTATATCGCCTCCATGCTGGGTGGAGTCTTCACGAATTTGGATCAGGTGCCGTTACAGTGTGTTTGTGATGCATCGCCGAACGGACCTGTGGGGTCCGGACGGTGCGTACTTCAGCGAATTTTACAGTGATGTCTGCTTCAACATCAGTTATTGGCGTTAGCTTTGAAGTTCGACCCAGACCGGTTTCTGAACGAGCGGGTCAGAAAGTACCTGACACCCAACCCGTTTATCTTTCTTCCTTTCAATGCCGGTATGTCATATGAATCCATTTATCCAGCCCGTATCATACGCTATTATCCAAGGTCCCCGTATATGTTTAGGCCAACAGGTGCGCAGCTTATATGTCCGACTCTCCACGCGCCAACACCTTCCAGTTTGCGTATTACGAAGCTTCCTTCTTCCTTGTCCGCCTCCTGCAGAATTTTAGCGGGTTCAGTCTTGCCCTCGACGCCCAGCCGGAAGCATCGAAGCCCCCGGCCAGCTGGAAGAACCGAAAAGGCAGTCAAGCGACGGAGAAAATCAGACTGGGCACGCACCTAACGATGTATTCGAAGGTATTTCCAAAGCCCCGCATTTGATCTTCATTCAACGCGCGTTCACTTTACTAGGGTGGTTTGTGGGTCAGAATGAATGAGGTTGCGACCGAGTAAAGGGATTTTTAATATCGCATTCTGTACTACGGTTTCTGCTGTATAGTACGCGACATTGTCGCCATCTTGACTGCAGACATCTGAGCGAAGTGCGAACAGGAGCGGTGTCGGGCCAACATGTAATGACACTCTCTGCCGATCTGTGCTCAATCGCCTGCCTCCTCTGTCAAATTTGAACCTCCTTCTCTACCGGTACTGAACGATGACATGCCATCGTTACCGTCCTGTCCGCCGCAAACCTTGGATGGGCAATATAACTTTCCTCGCCAGAAGATGAATCTTTGGTTGCAATCAATTTTTCTGTTTCTTTTCTTTTCTTTGTTCGGGTATGCCGCCTAGGTTGCAACGACTTTGAATGAATGCATTCCATTCCATTGCCATCTCACGAAATACAGGTAGTATTGGAAGAGCTGTTAACCAATTGCAACTCGTCGGTCGCGTGCTTACAACCAACCGGTAACACGAACCTGACCTATCGCAGCCACGCAAAAATTATGGCTGTTCAACCACTTCCAACTGGGTCTCTCTGCGCGCGGATTAGAAGGCTGGCTACACCGCTCTTGCCGCCAGCAATCGCCTCGGGTTGCAACTGGAAGCGCTAGAGCCCATGCATTTGAGTAACTGCTGGACCACTATTCCAGATTTCTGCTGCACCCTGAATCCTGGCAGTTTTCTATAATCTCTTGCTCAGCTTGCATGCATTGGTACCCGCCAGGACTTCCCTCACTAATAATCAGCACGGCGGAGAGATGGATCTGACGTAGTTCCATAGCAGCCTACTAATTAGAACTTGAACCGCTCTGGTTGATTATAATAGTTTGGTTTCCGCCGCGGCGCCTCAGCTTCTAACACCGAATGGCTGGACTTCGACTTCATTCGCAGGCCACAAGTTTGAGCCGAGATTGTCACGCTTTGGGTTGGAACACGTAGAAGGTCACGGCGCAGGGCTCACACATTCGACTTCTTAGCCTTCCATTGGATGTATCATCTGGAGAGGCCCGGCTGCATATTAAAGTCCTTCCACCTGTTGTCGCCTCTGAATTTCGCAATCTCGTCGGGCACATTCCCTTTTTATCATTTCTGCTTTGCAGCCTGTCCTGATTTTGTATCGATTTTACAGCAACGCGGTTTTCTGTTGATCCCCTGAAACATGTGGAAAGAAGCGGTTCTTATGCGGCACCCCATCCGGACCGTTGGCGGGGTTTTGGTGATAGGTTGGCCTGGAAGCTTTCACAGTTCTTCATCCCATCCATCATTGATCGTGAGACATCTACGTCACATAGATATAGATATGCCTAACGTCGCCCACACACCGAGTCCCAACTCGCAGGACCAAAACGAAAATGATTGAATGCTCGGTAGAGTTGTCTTTACTTGAGCGCGACGATGTGCTTACGTACAGGAGGTTGGTACGCGGGTTTTCTTCTTCAACACTGCCGGGGAAACAGTCTTTGCTACGGTGCAGAGCGTATCAAGGACGAGAGATGTAAGTGCAATGCGATGTGTGTCTTTGCCGTGATTGATTATGTTTTAGGGCACGGTGATTCTGGACCTACATACTGATGCCGGTCAGCAAGTCAGCCTCCCGTGAGCGTCGTATTCAGGTCGGACCACACTATGTAATAAATATGAGTCCAGGGCGGCATCGGCTCAACCAGTGGCTTGATTTCGTACGCAAGTGATTCAACTATTGGGTGCTTATAGCCTGACGTTGCTCTAGACTGTGGAAAGTGCTGGATTACGAACTGTGTTTTTTTTTTTTGCTTCCCTCTGTAAATCCAATTCTTTCTGCGACAAAATTGTTCGGCGGTGCCACCACCGACCTTGATAGCCTGTATGCATTTCACAAGCGCTAATATCACTCGACGAAGCGCAAAGGCATCGATACATGAGCTCTATATTAGTATATCTATATTCAAGAGGTAGTTTCCTAGTTGGGCTAAGTCCAAAAGCAGCACTGATTGGTCAACAATTATGTCACGTGGGACCACAGCCTGCCCGGCAGTATCCGGCCCGTAGTGACGATTTGGTGACGATAGCGGAAGCATTGAGATCTTGAGATTTCTAGTCAGGTGGCCTGATAACTATTCACTGAGCACGTCCGAAAAAAAAATTCCGTGGTCGCTATTGATTTGCTTGGTTTGGCTGCAAGCCAGCAAGTCAGAATGCCAATGCCCAAGGCAAGCCAGATCCATGGCACTTCGGCTTGGGCTTGCTCAATGAAACCAAGAGCTAAGATTAGAAGATCTCAGCTTCCACTTACGCGGACTCTTTAAACCAAATGGCCGCCTGGCGAAATGGTATCGCGTCTGACTACGATCATTGCCTTCATGCATTCATAACGTAATCAGGAGATTGTAGGTTCAATCCCTGCAGTGGTCATAATATCTGCCCTTGGGACCTTTTTTTTTGTAACAAAACGGACTCCGTTCGGCTAATGTGTTCAAACATATTTCTGAAGCGGGTGTGAGTACTCTGAAAATATACAAAGTTGCGTATAAGCCAGGCCAAGCCCTCCCTCGCGCCTTTAGCCAAAGCCCGGGTATTTAAATAAGCCAAGCCAGAACATCACTATCCAGATAAAGGAAGCATCTGCAATTTTCGGAGCGTCCCGGTCCGTTCCGTGGCCAGTTCGGCAAGCGGTCCGGTACCTGAGACCTTACTTGCTTATCTGCCTCCATCGGTGTTTCTCTCATTCCACTGGGATTTATTATTGAATTTAGAAAAGCAACGCAACAAAGTCTTTCCATGCGGTCTGTGGACTCTGGAGCCGCTGGAAGAACAATGAACGCGACTCGGCTTGACGTGGCCGCATCAAGCATCCTCGACGCCATTCGACGCCGTCCCCGTCAACGTTTGGATAAATATAAGCATGCGGATCTAACCAGGGGTTCAGGCCAGGGCAGAACTTTCGGCACTTATTCGGCGCTTACGTAATGTGTATATGAATATCCGCATTGACAGCCGAACTTGTTGTCACCTCATCATCTACAGCTTCCGCAACGTCCGTGCAGGAGAACGACACTGCTGCATGCTGGACAAATACGATTGGCTCCCTTGTAGCACGGCTCATACTGGCCATCAGACTTTTGACATTTTGATTGTGGCGTTGTCCAACGCCAAACAACGCCAAAAAAACGCGTGAAAACGCGCAACAACGTCACAACTCACAATCTTCGGGAAATTTTTGACAACGCCGAACAATGATCAGTGGATACCGTCAAAATGGAAGATGATCACCGCGGACTTGGACTTGCACAGGACCCTCCACGACCATCCGGAGGTCCATGCTCAATGCTACCCACATCCATCGTCCTCAACGCCGCCGGGACCATCGTAAATTTTGGTGTACAACGCCAATTTAAAACGCCAAACAACACGTGGAACGCGACAATCAAAATGTCAACTTGCTGATGGCGGCGCACCCGGAGACGCGCTTTCCTCAAAGTTCGACTTTGCTGGCAGCCTAACAGGTGTCCCCATTGACAGCTGAACCTTCCCCGCGCTGGCATGTGTCGCTTTTCACAACAACGCGACATACAATATCGAGCCTGTGCGCATGGCGTATCCAAGGCGTATCGTGTCACCCTCTCCTATAACCTCCTATAACATCTTTCTGTCCTCTGACAGAGCTGGGATTCCCCGTCCATGGCGGTGGCTTCCTCGTGTCTGGACATGCCTTGCCCATGCCTATCCGATCCTCATAACCCCCAGACAGCGCTTACGATCCGGTAGCAAAGAAGCCCGGCAGCCAGCTTGCATCCACGCTCCAATTCAACTCAACGTGCTGGCTCAACGCGTTGGGTTCATGCGGATGGCTTTGCTGTACAATACTGGATCAAGTTGAAACGTTTGCGACGGCATTGACATCCTCACGGAAGTGCAGGACCATGAAATGTTCAGTGAGGGAATTGCGGCACGTTAGAGAGCAATATTTTGTATTAAGATGGTGTGGTTTGCATACGCGGGGATGACCCACTGTATTCAAGAGGAGGGGAAGGAGAATTTCAGGCCGCAGTTCAATTATGTCCCGCGGCCCGTGGCTGACCCGGCCTGACCGACACATCAAACGGCGTGATATGTCTCGTTTACTCTTGCTGAAACGATGACATGATAGTCGCGCGACTCGGTGAACACTGAAGAGAGCCGAAGACATCCCAGACATCCGATTTCATTCAGAGAAACATATATTTAGCTGACCTGGGGATACCAGGTACTGTTGGAATAATTTGACCAGCAAACTGAACTCGGATCATGAGTAAGCCAAAGTTCTGGTCCGAGCCATCAGTAAAGTAGTTAGTAACTTACCGATAAGATTAATATTCTAGTCACTTTGTAGAGGACAGTTCTGCTGTCATCCCCCGCCACCGTGGTCACGACTGCCCGCCGTGCACTGCAGACTGCCGTCACAGCAGGTACGACCCACGTCCCGCCATACCTCCGCCTGGAGTCACCCGCGCCTGCCACAGCAATCGCGAGCACTGTGCGTAGCCGCATCCCGACTCCGCGGGACTCCCGGGAGGCACAACCAATGTGTCACTTTGTCTTTGAACGAAAAGAACGAAAAATCCTCTCGTAGAATGATAGACTTTTAGAATCCAAAAGAGAGAAAAAGAAAGAAGTGGACTGTGCCGGAATTGAACCGGCGACCTTTCGCAGATTGTACAGACTGTTTGGCATGCGAAGCGAACGCGCTACCAACTGCGCTAACAGCCCAGACAATCGTATCCAATCAGAAGTCAATTACAATAAATTTATACTGGCCAGTGACGATCCTCCGAAGTAACAAGCATTCCGAGATAATAAGGAGGATTTAGGGACACTTGAGTTAGGTCTCCTGAATTTACCTGAGAAGCAATGATTTTTTGGGGCGAGATGCCAAGCCCTTAAGTGTTCTTTTTGTGTTTAACCAGTGCATTATGATCCCATTGCTCAGGTGATCGCATTTTGGCCTTTTGCTAGCAAGCCCAGGTGCTGAAGAGTGTGAAAATAATTAGAACTGATCAAAATTGTGATCTGCATGTTTGGTAAAATTCTGCAGCTTCCTGATAACTTGGTCTGGCCCACGGAGTTTCCATAATCCTTTGTAATATTTATTTGAAATTTTTAGTGATTTTAGAGGAGTTTTACAGATTTCACAAATGTGGTATCACACCTCGCCTGCTCAAAGTAGGTATGTATATAGGCTTCCCCACATGCACCTCAAAAAGTTATGCATGGCAAACAAAACACTTGCACTCACGGTTTCGTGCTGTAGGGCCATGCAAAATAGAGTACCTGAAAGTCGTGTTCTGTTGAGCTCTCACACGAAAAAAAGGGTGGCTCATCCTCGCACAGAACGTCCAGGAAATCACATATCAAATTTACATAAACATTGTTCCCACGAATGGATCCTCGCGATTCAGGTCATAAAACGATCGATGCGCCCACAAGGCACCCGCCAATACTACGACCACGCAATTTATGTGCTTCAAGCTCGTACATGCTTTGAAGAAACAATTTTCTTGCAGTAACTACACATTCAACAAATTTGGAAGATCGCAGTCCTCAGGACTGTTGGTCCCAGGACTCCCAGAGCTACTCAGGGACTCAGAAGGGCTGCCAAACAGTGCATGGCGGCGGATCATACTCCCCAATATCTCCTGCCCAATTTCCGTTTGCCAGTATTCATGCGAAAATGGCAATACATATTTGTCCCCATCCTCGTCAAACCCGAGCTCAGTCATCGCTTGCTTAATTTGACGCGGGCCATAGGTCTCACGAATGGAGTAACATGAGAACTTGAAATGATCACGGAGGAATGCGTCGAGGGTGGCGTTGTGCGTATGATGAGCAGGGAAGTGGTGTAATCACCGTCAATGTCGACAGTGAAATGATTACTGTGGAAGTGGAACTTGAGGTCAGTGTGCATCGTCAAAACGTTATCTGGGCTGAAGAAATCCTTGTCTAGCAAGTCGAACCAAGATGTTTTCGTCTACGAACACAAGTAAGCCCACATCGGCGACCCTTGAATGGAGGGAGAAACCTGCTCCCGGAATACCGGCGGGAAGATCCACGATAATGCGGTGTCGCCCGTTCGTCCCGTGAACCGGCAGCATTGATTGTCTCGAGCAACCACCAGCTGTGTGATACTTGGCAAGAAACAATACTAGTGACGTCGGAACGAGTGCTGGAACCAAGGAAGACATGTAAGAATTACCTCGGAAATGCGCTCTTCCGCGCCTAGAGCGTGATTTGCCTGATACTCGAAGGTGTCATTCCACTTCCTCGGTAACGCCATTATGTCCCGAAATCCTCCGTTGGTGCACTCCCCTGCCATAGGGATGTAAGAACCAGGACGTTCATGATAAGGCCTGGTGTTACGATTATAGTAAAGGCCATAATCACCCGGAGGAAGTGGCAATTCAGTAATCACATCAATAGAAGAACCGTGGGGTCCAATCCAGTATTCGAAGATGCCGACCGAATGGACATTGACAGGGCAGATGAAGAGCTCTCTGGTCGTTTCGGGGCTTATCGTGCGTATCCAACGTTGAACGGTCGCGCTCGACACTGGGGTCAATTTCTGATTGACACCTACGCGGGGAACTTTGAAAGAGACAAAGCCAGAACCATACCAAGAACCAGCCGAGCTGGCAATGGGTAAGAGACGTAAAGATGAAGGTGTCGCGACCAAGAGCCACCGATTTGGCAGAGAGAACGTGAGGCATCGTGAACAGAAGTCACTGAGAAGACTAAGTGCCACGTTGCTTGGTCACAACTGAAAGGTCCCGAAGATCATCGGATCAAATCGATTGGTTGACCCGTTTGGTAAGCCGTTGCAATGCCCGTGTGTCGCGTGTCCTAGCGGGAACATCATTATTAATCAGTAAATCAGTGGTCCACTCCCTAGCGCCGTAGGGGTCCAGGGCCGTTTTCCACTCGCATGAGTCGCATCCTCGCTTCAGCGCGCCGGCTCCGGCACGCTGATCTCTGCCTTGCCCTCCACCCAGGCCGGGCTCCCAATTAGTATTTACTTTTGGTGATGAGGATTACAGTCTTTAACAGGGAAGCGAAATGCACGGGGAAGCGAAATATTCGCTGTCCCGCGCCTTCAGGGCGCTGTATGTAGCCACGTTTTTAGTACACGATACCAATAGATAAAAAACCCCTGGTTGCAAAAGGATTCGTCCACAGAACTTTCTGGGACCCCAAGGGATCCAATTCTCTGTTTCCACGCTTATTTGCCGGATTTGGTCAAAGTTGGGCATCGGGCTCGGTCCTGGACTAATGAATACTCATAATTATGCATACTTGGGAATTTTCGGGGGTGGGGATCACGACTCACTGCGCAATAATCGCGTGTATTTCGCTTCCCCGTGATGTGACCAATTTGACGGTTACAAAAGATGGCTCTCGTTCTCCACCAGAACAGGAGCAATTGACACAGGAATTTGTTCCACGGGGTAGCCAGGATGTTATACCTGCGATATATATAAAAAACCTTGCTGGTTTGCGACGTGATTGCCTCTGGAATGGCAAAATTGCTTGAACATTTCGCTTCCCCATTAAAGACTGTAATGCTTCCTCAATGGCATATCTGCAATATGTGCTGCACTCGCGTGCGCTTGGCCGTCACTTGCAGTTGCCATTCTTGGTCCCATATCTCGCCCGAAAAAAAAATCATTGAACTGTCAAATTCTCAGGTAAAATTCGGGAGACCTAACTCAAGCGTCATCATCTCGGGATTCTAAAGATCACCACTGGCCAGTTTAAAGTTCTACTCAGTAATTGACCTCTTATTGTTGTTCAGGGCTGTTAGCGCAGTTGGTAGTGCGTTCGCTTTGCATGTCATTATCGCGGCGGGGTGGTGTGCGAAAGGTCGCCGGTTCGATTCCGGCACAGTCCACTTCCTTTGCATTGAGGATTTTTTTCTTTTTTCTTTTGATCCTCAAAAGGCCTAACATCCCATCGAATTCTTTGTTCATTTTGATCAAAGAAAAAAAGCGGCATAATATTGCTTGTATCTTCGGGATTCCCCGGGAGTTGGAACTCCAACTTGGGAGCAAGGTGTGGGTCATGGTCACTACGCACTGTCGTGACTGCTGTGACAGGTGCGGGTGACGCCGGGCGGAGGTAGGCACCCAGATTTGGTGGCGATGGCATTGGTCGACGGTCGTTCCTGCTGGAACGACAGTCTGCATCTGCAGTGACGGCAGGCAGACGTAGTTGCGCAAATTCCGCCTCAGATCTAAATCCTGATTTGGGAATTTGATGGCGGCAACACGGCATCAATTTAAACAGTGCCGTTGTCTCCCCAAAAAGGCATGGAGTCGACAAGAAGACAAAACAATAAATTTCTGTGGTGGTAGGCTTCAGAATATAGCCAGTGAAAGGGAAATAATGGCATCGATGGATTGTCGAGGGATAATACTGTACAATGAATTACAGTAGATCATCGTTAGTCCTTCCAAGAAATGACCATCCATCCGACTTCGACTCCCAAAGAGCGGCAGCAGCGCGAGTTCGAGAGACGGCGGCACTCAACAGGCTCGGTTCGTCGTGGCGTCGGTGTGCCCGCGCTCACTCCCTCGCCCGGGATGTCGTCCGACGCGTGCACGGCGGCGACGCGAGCGCGCGCATACCTGCACGGAAGACCTCGCCCAGCGCCGGGGCGCGCGGCGAGCCCCTCATCGATGAGCACGCCCGCACCCACGTGTGTCCCCTACAGTCTTCGCCACCGCGGACCCGAGCGCGCCGTTGCCCCTGCTGCTCACGAGCCGTGCGAGCTCCACGCGGTGTGACATGACCGCCATGCGGCGCGAGCGCCCCACAGGCACGATCAGCGCGCGCGCGCGCCCCTGCGTGACCGCCGCCTCGCTCTCGACGAGCTCGCAAATCGCGTGCAGCGGCTGCGCGGCGCGCTGCTTCGTAAACGTGATGCACGCCAGCGCGTCTGCGACGTGCGCGGGGTGCGCACCCGCCATGCTGGCGAGGCGTTCCCACAGGAGGTTGTCGGCCGTGCCGGACACCATCCGCGTCTGTGTGTTTTGCTGGCCGTATATGGTGTCTGCCGCAGCCATCGTCTGTCACCAGGCTCAGCACACGAATGGATTGTTGGAATCGTGGATTTCGGCTGCTCGATAGCTAGCTCGCTAGATACAATACGTACAAACATTATGTAACTGATCTGCAAACTTGGCGTTCCCCCCCATCAGGTTACGGGCCACCCGCGCATCTGCCTGCATACGAGAACCACCTCTTCCCCCAAAATACCACGTCATCTCGCTCCGACTTCTTTTTCCCTCGATGACGACAAACTCTACTCTTCTCACACTCGCGGCCACTGTCGACGCGCTAACGGACGACAACTGGCACACGTTCAAGGATGAGATCCTCATCGTGTTCAACGCCGACGGCGAGTCCACCGACATTGTCAATGGCACGACCAAGCGCCCAGCGGACACTACCCTTGCAGCCGCCTGGGACAAGAAGGACAAGGCCGCGATGACTATTATCTGGTCCCGCATGTCGAAGGACACCCGTCACCTCGCGAAGGACATCAAATCCGGGTCGGTGCTGTACGCTGTGCTGAAGACAAAGTTCGAGGCATCCACCTGGTCACGTCGCGTCGCTCTTCGGACTGCATTCCACACGGTCAAGCATGACACCTCCCTGCCGGTCGAGAAATACGTCAAAAAGGTCACGGAGCTTCGTGACCAACTAGAAGCGCTCGGCGAAAAAGTCTCCGACAACTACTACAAGGACGTTCTCCTCGCCAACCTCGATCCTCTTTACGTCGCCGTCCGGAACTCGCTGCTCTCACAACCAACCGGCGAAAGCGATTTGAAAACCGTCAAAAATGTCATCTCCGGCGCCACGTACGTTACCCCGACCGACAGCATCGTCAAAGCAGAGCTGGAGGACACAGCTTTGACTACTCGGCAAGGTGGAGGTACCAGAAAGGCGTTCACATCGAGTGGGAGACGCGGAAATGGCGATGCTCACGCCTCTGGCGACTCGGAAGTTGACGGCACGGACAAACACGGCTACCGGTGGTGCGACCCGACGAACGAGAACCACTGTCATCGCTGTGGCCGCACGAACCACATCGCCGCCAGATGCGTCGCAGATATGCCGAAAGAGATTAAGTCGTGGGTCCTCAATCGTCCTGGTTCCAATGAGCGATCGAACACGGTCTCTGAATCATCGTATGTCACTCATTCACCTTCCAAATCCCCTCGCCGTCGTTCTCCCTCTTCTTCTTCATCTCTCAACTGGCGTGCCGACCACCAAGAAAATTAGGGACGATACAGACGAGGAACAGACCTATGCCGCCATTGAGAGGGTATACACGACATTCGAGGACGGTGTCCAGTACGACGACATGCGCTACGAGAAGTTGCTTTGATTCAGTGGGAGCTTCTGTTTCATTCAGTGGGAGTTCTCCTTCCATTCCTTTATTCTTTCTTTTCATTTGGTGAGCTGCTTATCTCGCAGAGTGGGAGTGTTGGAATCGTGGATTTCGGCTGCTCGATAGCTAGCTCGCTAGATACAATACGTACAAACATTATGTAACTGATCTGCAAACTTGGCGTTCCCCCCCATCCTGGTGCGAGTCAGTACGAGTCATAGGAGCTATAGGAGCCACATTACATCATGGATGTATAAGAAAAAGATGTACCTGTGTCGCACCTCCTGTCTGCGGAAGACCTCGCCCAGCGCCGGGGCGCTTGGGGAGCCCCTCATCGACGAGCACGCCCGCACCCACGCACGCACGGCGGCGACGCGAGCGCGCGCACACCTGCATGGAAGACCTTGCCCAGTGCCAGGACGCGCGCACGGCGAGCACCAGCATGCACATGCCGCGGCGCAGCCGAGCAGGTTCCTGGACGGCGGCGCGTCAGTTAGTCTGTGCGACGTCGGGGACGACGATGCTGTGCGGAGTGAGCAATGGCGGCGACGGAAGAGGGAGGTAGACACACCCAGCCAGATAAGTTCCACAAAAAAGGTAGTGACGTTCTTGCGCACGAGGTCCGAAATTTTGTTGATTGCACGGCGGCGCCTGCTCACAGTGCCATGATATATTTTACATGTGCGTAGCATGCGGGGTGTGGGATACAGCGGCTATTGCAAGTGCGGGGTGCGGCAGCTATTGAGCAACACGTGCGGCGTGCGGACGTGAGGCATCGCGAGGGCGAGAGGAACGATGGAGGAGAGGAAAAATGTGCTGTGTATCTCTGTTATGGCGTCAGGTGCCGTCATCATCTCCTGCCGTGTTGCTGCCATCAAATTCCCAAAGCGTATCTGAGGCGGAATTTAAACAGTAGGCAGACGTGACGACGGTGACAGGAGATGACAGCAGGAATGTCGCTTTGTGGGATCTGTTGGGCCTTTTAGTGGCTATGACCGCGCATTTAGTCGGGGAGCGATCACGTGACGGGCGGGATTTTGATGTTCTTGGTTTCGAGAGTACTCACTAACCATGTTTGAACATATGTAAATAGCCGAGCGGAGTCCTTTTTTTTAAAAAAAAGGACTCCGCTAGCTTTTAGTACTATGACCACCGCAGGGGTCGAACCTGCAATCTCCTGATTTAATCCTACTAGAAGCATGTAATCGTAGTCAAGGTGATGCCATTTTGCCAGGCGGCCGTTAAGGATCAGCAGTCGTTGCGACGGAGATGGTTCCCGGATCATTCCCGGATCATACCGGACGGTTGCAGCATGGCTTCATGGCTTCAAGTCCCGGCCTCAAGTTTTGGCCTGTTTTGGCTCTTGGCTTCGCTGAGCCCTAGCCCAAGTGGATCTGGCTTGCCTAAGCCTCGGCATTGGCATCTTACAAACCTGGTGCACAACGCTTTTTACAGTTGACGTCCGACTCCGAGGGGGTGATGTTCAAGCTTCAAGGCCCGGCTCGGCCTGAAAGCCCGGGCTCGGGCTCGGACTCGGGCTTCAGATTCTGCAGGCCCGAGCCCTAGCCGCCTAGAGCCCGGGCCTAGGCCCAGGCTTTTGCACAGCAAAATAGCAAAAAAGAAAGAAAGAAAGAAGGCAAGATTGTACATTGTAGCTCCGAGTCCTTGAACATCACTGGCTCGTGAAACAAATGATCCCAGTGAATGAAGCATTCAATTGAAGCACTAGTACTGCAATACCTCCACAATGTCGCGGGCTAAGGATAGCGGCCGGTTGATTGTTGCATGTGACAACAATGCCACAGGACCCGTGATTATCCCGCTGGTAGTAGGATACGGATTTGCCAGGTTCTGGAGATTTTGTCCGGGCTTTTTCAAAAAAGGAGTCCGAAAAAAATTGTCCGGACTCGTATCACACCCCTCGAAATCTCCCATTTTTGTCCGGATTCCGTATCAAAGGTCCGAAAAATCCCCCAAAATCCCCAAAAAAATCCCCCAAAAAATTGCAACAGCTGTACAATATGTCCTAGGTTGCTACATCATTTTCCTGCTCTATATCCATAAGATTTAGAGGTTCTGCTGCCAGTGGTGAAGATCATCCTTGATAGATGATCATGCAATGTTGTACTCAATGTAGTGAAGGCAGAAAAAAAGGGTTAGGGGTTACATGCTAAAAATTGTTTGTCAACAAAGAATTTTCTGTTTCTAGCCTCCCCTGACCCATGTGGCTTAGATGTGGCAGGAAGCCATTGTTGATTACTGCGGGAGGTCATGTGAGAGATATAATTTCATAAGGTCTCAAGGGTGCACTCAGGCAGTATACTTAGATTAGTATTTACTTTTGGTGATGAGGACTCGGACTGATGCTTCCTCAAAGACATATGCGCTGCACTCGCGTGCGCTTGCAGTTCCTATTCTTGGTATCTCGCCCGAAAGAAATAATCATTGAACCGTCATATTCTCAGGTCAAATTCGGGAGACCTAACTCAAGTGTCCCCGAATCCTCCTCATCATCTCGGGCTGCTTGTCTTCTGTGACTTCTGATTGCTTGGCAGGGCTGTTAACGCAGTTGGTAGCGCGTTCGCTTTGCATTTACAGTAAAGGAGCGAGTGTAATATGCGAAAGGTCGCCGGTTCAATTCCGGCACAGTCCATTTCCCTCTGATAAATACTTTTTGATCCCAAAAAGGCCTAACATCCTATCGAATTCCTCGCTTTTTTTAAAGGAAAAAAGCGACATAATATTGGTTGTATCTCCCGGGACTTGAACTCCGACTTGGGAGCGAGGTGCGGGTCATAGTCACAGCTCCGGCGCCGATTTCCTGTGCGTGCATTCCCCGCCCCCGTTCACGCCGCCGAAAAAGGGCTCATGTGCTCAAAAGCAGGTGTCCTGCACGATTTTTTCTTGCTTCTTTTCTTGTTGCATTGGTGGTGTTCCTGGTGACGGGGACGTCGCCATTCGGGAGAGGGGGATGTGCACCAGGTATTCAGAGCGCACAGCACCTGACTGCAGTAGCTAATGTCATGTGTAGCTTACTAATCCATCCATTCTTCTTCTGCACCACGACGCTCTCCGCCGGCGTGATGTGGGTGCGCCCCAGCGCCGCCGCCACCAGGATCAACGGCCACCACTCCAACGTCCCGTGATATTTTTATACTTCCTTCTCGAATCATTTACATTCATAGACGTGGATTGATCTGAACTTAACGACAGGAAGCCTGTGGGGCAAAGAGAATCCTATAGCACTGCAACTTATGTTGCTACTGGCTGTTTCCCATCAGCAATTGCGCAACTGGGTGAAAAAGCTGAGGCCAAATTGTTGGTAGAATTTGCATACATATGAGACTCAGAAGAAAATTTTGGGCGAGGATGACCCCGCAACCCTTCTCACGAAGAAATTCTTGGATTCAGTATCTGAAGAAACAGAAGCAAACCAGTGAAACATTGTAGGTTCTTTATATTTATACATGCCCGTGTTTGCGTCGTCATAAATATCAAAGTCTGTTACAGAGAATGTGTACTCTATATTATGCAGCTTGAGGCTCAGGGTTGAGCTGTCAACCAGTAGTATCTTTTCTTTGTTCTTGATTCCCATCCTATATACATAAACTATATTAGTGAGTCCCTCCTCGCAAGCAGAAGTAAATTTGCACGGAATGCCATATTTGGTCACATGTCTTGGAAATGCTTTCTCCAGCGGCTGCGTAACACACAAGTAACACAAAGCTTACAGATAAGTATGGGGGGAAATGACAATGTATATAGTTGAAATATGCCCATACGGATGTGACATGGCTTAGTCCGCTCGACAAGTGCTAGATATACTGCCGTAGCTCGGCTAACTCAGCGACCATTTCGATAGTCGCGGTAATCGCTCCTGTCATTCTCCGGGAGCACTGACAATCAGTTTGAATTCTTTCTGCGGTTATGCGCGAACAGGCCGAAGCATGTGGTCGTATCGAGCAATACCCAGACCGCAGCCTTTAAGATAGCCAGGTGATAGGTCGAGGTGGTCCTTCGGATTCCTTCCTCAAGAGGGTGGCCACTAGGACAGTTGGTGGAGTGACAGGAGTCCCTCTCTCAGTGTTCCCGGATAACTGCATTCGCCTGGGAGAGCGTGTGACTGCTTGCACGTGAAAAAGAGTCTGCCGTTGGCTCAAATGTGCTTGTCCTCGTTGCTCATTTCCAAGGGCAATCACAGTTTAAATCTCTGCTCCAGTCTACTAAATAGTACTGTACATGTTGCAGCGTAGACGGTTTTTTGGTCATACAAAATTTCAATATTGGTGAAGGTTCACTGGTAAATAATTTTATGGGGCATTACTCCCTCACGAGGCGGAAGCCGGCGTGAAATCTTCGGTTTCAGATTTTCGGCCGAACTCCGAGCATCGAATTTGACTTAACGGCGCAGTCGAAACCTGGATTGACGGCGGTAAGACAGTAGGGTGTGGTTAAACCATAAAGGAGTATTTCGGAGGAAAATGCAAAAGGAGACGAACGATGGAAAATTCGGCGGTCATGTGACCCATTGATGCGACGGTTCAAACGCGTCGCAACGCGGCGCAAACATGTCGGGACGTGTCTTTCAATAACTATGACGTGGTGGCCTGTTACTGGGGCAAGATCAATGCTGAGACAAAGGTTTCCGTTGTTCAAAGGGCGTGATCACCGCCGTTCTTACACAGAAAATGGTCTATGAAGGTCCCCCACCCGCCATTGTACTCTCTCTCTCTTTTGGACCTTAGTCCACTTAGCTGGATTAAACTTTTGGGCATCAGGTTGCTAGTGCAATTGTTTGGAACAACTTGGCTTATTTGGATTGGAATAATTGGTGGATTGTGTAGGATTTACTCGCCCGGCGGCGCTGGTCACCTTGGGTTGCCTTATGATTTATTTCACTTTGGGTGGATAACCAATACTTCGAAATTTCGAGGCCGGGGGATGCGTGGTTAAGCGGGTGCTACGCGAGAGGTTTAGTGGGTAGTGACAAATCCTTGGCCTTGTGCCGAGGTGCCGAGTCCCACAGTACCATGACTTCGTGTCTAGATCTGCGTAGATGCACACCTACCCGGGGCCGCCGCCAAATATTCGCGGTACGACGGGTGCTGACAATGCTTCTGCTATGGCAGTGGCACCACACTAAACGTCTCAATTATTTCGTTCTGTGGAGTACACTGTTGTGCACATGCACTGGCGAAATCGTAACGACAATGACATTGAGATCGGGATAACGTGGGAAAGATGGTAAGGCACGTATCCTGTAGTGCAGCGGGAAAGCGTGGATACTGTGGTGGCTGGAGTCTGTCTGCGTGCTTATAACAGGGAGTACCTTGTTAAACGATTCTACTATACATGCAGTAACAATATTCATCACAATCGCCTAGGTGCCAGTCCAACAATTTCGTCGTGCCTAGTGTCGATGGCAAGTTAGTTTTCGGTCTAACCTGCCTGGCAGATGGCAAGTTGGCCTAGCATGCCAGGTTGGCAGATTGTGGCAGGCCGAAAAATGATTTAAAAATTCGAATAAAATCTGAATAAATTTACACCCTCTGTCCTAATATATCTGCGGGATTCCAGTCATCTTCGTCATCATCCCCAATGACATTGACCTCGTCTGCATAATTTTTTGGGAATGACACCCCTCTCGACCCGATCCAGCTCCTCAAAATCAAAGATTTGGTCTCGAGATATCGAGCCCAGAGTCGCATTCTCCTCCGGATCCGACTCTGACTGCTCTAATGCAAGTGTTTGTTGGAGAATCGGCGAAGGCGGGCAGCGTTGCGGACATCCACCGAGGCAGTACAATCCTTCATCGATGAGAGAGGTGGTCAAAAATGTGTGTCCCTCGATGCTTAATCGAGGCACCCTTACTCAAGGGGTACCCACCGGAAGATGCCGAGACACAGCCTCAGAGGGAGGGAGGCCTCCGAGACCTCTTATTTCACTTTTCGGACCAAGGTTTCAATTGCCTCGAAAATGAGTTTAGGACAATTGAAAAAATGCCAAAAAATAAATGGAACAAATAATGATACTTTCTATCTACAATTATGCACATGGCCTATCAGAACTTATCTCGGAAGGTCTGCAAGCGATCTCAATCTTGTTTGCTTTGACCTTGATCAAATTTTAATGATATCTCAGTAACAAGCATATGTTTATCAAATTTCCGATCAGCAGCCGCCAAAGGAAAATTGATCATTTACTAAGAAGAGGCGCACATCAAGCTCCCATCCCACATCACCCCCCAATATCATGGCAGCCCACACCACTGACACAGACTTCAAACACACAACTTGAATCCAGTGAATGTTGAGCGAATGGCTCGCCTCTTACCACCATCGTGCGCCGCAATTACATGTTCAGAGACTGCATACACCCAGATGGCCCAACCTTCCTGTGTCGGAATAATAGCAGTTGAAGGCGGAGTGTGGTTTTGCAGTGACTACCACATGTTTTATAGCATTTAAAGACTGGAAATTCCCGCCCTTGTGGAGAGCGTGAAGAAATTTCAGTTTGATTTCGGTAAAATTACCGCTTTGGGACACATCACGTGATCGTATGAGAGGGAGGGAGGGTCCTGAGCCGTCTTATTTCACTTTTCCGACCCTGTGTTGGAAATTTTAAGAGTGGGTACCCCTTGCCCTTACTTGTAGTTGTAGCATCCAGATTTGTTTGCAAGAGCCGCAAGGCGGGTGAAATTGCTGTCGATGAGCGAGTGTACTCTGGGACCAGGGCTGGTCATGGTGGCACAGAGGCAGACACAGTTTTCATTGAGTTTTCGCGGCAGAACAATGGGCAAAATGTTTTTTGATGGTGTATCAGGTGACCGCGAATATTGTTTCCTAATATATACCTGCCACCTCTTGCCAACCGTCACAGCGAACTTTCCATGGCAGCTGCCACCTGCCATGGGTGGCAGGCAGGTTTATCTTGCCATCCCAACAACACTAGCGCCGACTCGTGCCGAAGTTTGACACTTAGTAAAGCGCGGAATCGCACGGTACATAATGTCTCTAGGTAGCGACAGCTTGCCTCGTGGCATCGATATCAAAACTGCGCAGTCGCAAGAAGCTGAGCTGCTGCTGTGCCTGCAGTGCAGTGCATTGTCCAGCGCCAGGCCGGAACAAGACACTTTGGCGTCCGAGCCCCGGGGTTGGAACTTGGGGGCGGGCTTGTGCATTCACCGCGGCCAAGCCCCCATGTGGTAACCTACGTCCACGGCAACAGAACAATCAGTCGCACTTAAAAACAGAAACACCGCGCTAGCTGCGCGCGGTGAGAGTAGCCACTTTCGACGTGCAAGGGGTATCTACCTGCATCTACATGGTCCAGGAGACTAGACGAAGGCAGACGAAACCAGGCGGAGTACAGTGCCCGTCATCACTTCTCTGCATGTGTTTTTTGGGTTCAAATAATTTTTTGTGATTTATTTCCGATTTTCTGGGCCACGAAACCGGCCAAAAGAATGTGATTCACCACAAAAACTAATTTTTTCCCACGGTGTTTCACTTTTATGGCTGATGAAAAAAAATTGTGTGTACCTAAGTGAGCCTCCAGTCAACCATTGCCAACACCTATCACCAGACCGCATCAACTATCACCAGACCGCATCAGGGAAGCCCACAGTATGGGTAGAAAGACCGGCAAACTGAA